TTCATAATTTTAATTGTTATTTGAATTATTTATATCCATAAAATTCCCTTATTTATCGTAATAGCATTTAATAATCATACAAAAATAATGGTAGCAGCATATTAAAATATTGATATAAAATTTTTCATGAGAATTTTCTCTAAATTAAATGAGACTATATTTCAATTAATTAGTTTGATATTTAAATTAGAATAGTTTTGCTGTTATAAATAATTTAAGGAGATCCTTTATTAAAATACAAATCATAAAAAGCTGTATTCAAAAAATGATGAAGAAGATTCGGTTTATTGTTTCTAAATCAAAAAGTTGAAATTTCAAATTAAGAGTATTTTCTTAAAAGTTGATTTTATTTGATATTTGAATATTCTAAGAAATTTTCAATAACATGTAAAGATTAAAAAATTACAATTCATAAATAGCTTATTGTCTCTATTAAATCTAAGGAATTCTATTAACAACATAGCCATTCAAGAAATCTAAAATCTTTCAAAATAGAAGGGTTGATTTTTAATACAAAAAAATAAATAAATTATGAAAACATAAGCTAATGTAGAAAGTAGATGAATTATGTCCTTTGTATTTAAGACCTAATTAAAATTTAACGCGTTTAAAATGATTTAATTTCATATCTAAATATTCTAGCATATTGATATTCTAATTAGAGATTAATAGTTCTCAAATTAAAGAAAAAAAAGGTATTTATATTTTTCAATATTTGAAATCCTGAAAGAATTCATTTTTAACAACAATATATTCTAGAGGTCTAAATGAAAAATTTTATATATGATCTATTGGAAGTAGAGAAAAACTATTTTAGAATGGCTTCTTTAAGGTTCTGTATTGCCTGATATAGATATCAATTTTTTATAAGAAGATTTTTAGAGAAGGATATAAGATTAAAAATTCTTACAAGAAGATTAATAAAAAAATAATTTAAGAAAGATGAATAATATAAATAAAATATTAAAAAAATAATTTTTTGTCTCACAGATAGTGTGGCTAAAGTATTTTTTAAAATTTACAGAATGAACAATTTTTGGATTTAGCAAAGGGGTATAATTTATGATAAACCTTAAAATTTCAACTCTATTTCCGATTTTGGTAATGACAGGAAAGAATTATGACAGTAATGAATTAAAAAAGCTAAATACTTCCAGTACTAAGGCGTGCAAATCTCATTTAGAGGAGGAATATCAGAACATAAAAAAAATATTTACAAAAAAGTACTCTAATTCTACTATATAGGTGACTGAATTATGGAATTCTTAAATAAAATTTCATTTAATTATCCAGCTCCTCACATAAAGAATTTTAGAAAAAAGAAATTTTGCACTGGCAAAAACTCTAAAGATTATTTAAGTTACACCAGATAAGGTTATTAATGATAAATGGTAACAGTTTGGTTCTAAAACTTCGGTTTTTATGAATTTACTATAGAATAAACTAAGTTTACATTATATTTAAATTTAGTTAGGGTTTCTTAAAGAAAGTTATGATAGAAGAAAAAGATTTTAATGGTTAAAAATATTTTTTGAAATCATTAAATCAAAAGATGAAAGAAAAAAAAATATTTTAATTTAAACATTAAGTTTTTAAATTAGGCCAAACTATAAAGTAAAGTATATATCTAATATGGGATACCTAGATAGATACAAATATCATTGGAAGAAATATTTATAACGTCTTTGGAACATGATTCTGTACTATAGAACGACTGTAATCTGTTTGAATAAAGAATTCCAAAATAATTCTTACTATAGTCCATTTTATCTTTAATTGTAGATTAATATAAAATGAAATATGTGTTTAAATTAAAGAATTTAATCAAGATTAAATGATCTAATGACAGTAAGGGTTAACGTCCAGTTTGAAATTGATTTCTAGATCAAGTTTAGATAAACAGAAATTAGTGATCCTAGTGTGTTGCTCTCTTACTTAAAAAACATCAAAAATTTATGAGTAATACATAAGATATAATTTGGAAGAAGCTATTTTATTGAAATCAGATAATAGATTCTCAATAATGAAGAGAAGGAGGAGATAGAAATAAGAAAATGGAGGCT